CCAATAAAATCCCATCATCTCTGCAGATGGCCTCTCATTTCTGAACTCCTGTGTCGGACACTCTTGGGGACATCACCATCACACACCCAGCAGGTTCTTCTGGGTCTGACGATACCCTTGGCCAAGGCTACCCCAAGAGGGTGACACCAGGCCGGTGGTTCTGAAGGCACACACTCTGAAAAACCCAGCCAGGACCGTGCTGAGGAGGACAAATTAAAGGGCGCAGTTGGTATTTACAGTTCCCTTTCCTGCCTACTTATTAGGCCTTGCATTTCCTAAAAATCAAAAAATCCCACCTCCTGAGTTCCAAAATAAAACATATTTATGGTACATAATTAGGCTTTAATTAAGATCTCCTCTGGGTATGTGAGACAACATGCACTTCTAGCACATTCAAATAGGCAAATAGACGCGACCTATTATTTATGCTGTATAGAAAGCTGCCTATTAAACCCAGGCAGTGTTGGCTCTTGCAGCAAAGCTGTAATTCTTCCCATGATCCAAAGGGAAAAAGCAGCTTTCCCAAGAGGCATCTTGGGGTGGAATCTTGGCCCCTCTCGGGCACCAGGGATAGCAGTCAAGGTGGTAGCGCCGAGAGAGGTTCAGGGATGTGTTTTCCTGTCTGCATTTTCTACGTGCCCGTCAAGCGCTGTGTTTGTGTGTGGTAGGTGACATGAGGAACTAGGCAGTTACAATGTGCATGGACTTGACATTGACAGTTGAGTGGACTTGGTTCTCAGTTGTCAGGGTCTTGTATAACTATGAGACTTCTACTTTTTTAAACCTTTCCTGTTCGAATTATGAACTGTTACCAATGACAGTTCCCTGGCAGTATCAAAAGAACAGAGGCAGATGCCTTTTATCAAAACAGCTGTTTGGTTTCTGGGCTCCTGGGTACTCAGATATTGGAAGAAGGCATGAACTATATGCTGTCCAGAACAAACTACGTGCTCCCCTAAATCCACTGGCAGATAAGATATGGAGTTTCCTGGAAAACAAACTCTCCTCTGTGCCGTCAGGTGAAGGGCCCATCTCCCAGTAGAGCTATGGCTTAGATTTCCTTCATAATTAATATATGCACCATACCATGGTAAGGTCCCATCATAGAAAGGGCCCAGAAGTCTGTTCACGTAGATGAAAGGCTTAAGAACCTGGTCTATATGGCATCTGGAACCTCTCTCTCTCTCATTTTTTTTTTGTTTTTTTTTTGTTTTTTTGTTTTTTCGAGACAGGGTTTCTCTGAGTAGTTTTGGTGCCTGTCCTGGAACTTGCTCTGTAGACCAGGCTGGCCTCGAACTCTCAGTAATCTGCCTGGCTCTGCCTCCCGAGGGCTGGGATTAAAGACATGCGCCACTGCCCAACACATCTGGAACTCTTAAATCTGTGTACATAAACTGTGTCAGTGAGGTCACCTCTTTGGCGACTGTAAGTGTGTGTGGCAGAGAAAACATCTCCTGTGGGTTTGCTTTCTTCTGGATCTCCAGGGCACTACAAAGCAGAGGTCCGGGTGCAGCCATATTAGATCGTAGCCATGAAGGTCATGACCGAGAGATGTCTTACTCATTCTTGCGAACCCTCAAATTATCATATAGTTGAGACGCAGAGGTATTTGTTGAACAAATTATAATAAAAGGAGTTGCTATTTGCCTTTTGGATTTTTATTTTTTAAAAGAGGGCTTGTGAGAAAGAATCACCAAGAGGTATGCGGAAGCAAGAGCTGCTGAATCAGTTATTCACCTGTGAAAGCTCCGTAACAATGCGTTTTAGCGTTCTTGCGGAAATGACTTACAATTTGCCACTACTAGTGGTACTGTATGCTTTATGAATGAAGCATCTGCCAGTTCTAATAGCTAGTAGACACCAGATACTAAATCGGCCCATGTATGTATATTACTGCTAAATGTTACAGTAATCTAACAAGATAAGAATAACCTCATTTTACAGCTGCAGAAAATGAGGTTCAAATTGCCAGAGGGGGTGGGTGGGTTCCAGCTTTACTAACAATGGTGGGTTTTCCCCCAATAGACCTGATGAAACCATCTCTAGATGTTCAGTGTGTGTGTGTGTGTGTGTGTGTGTGTGTGTGTGTGTGTGTGTGTGTGTGAGAGAGAGAGAGAGAGAGAGAGAGAGAGAGAGAGAGAGAGAGAGAGTGTTTACTCAAACCACGTGTGTGCAGGTATCCACAAAGGTTGGAAGAGAGAGTCGATCCCCTGGAACTGGATGTGAGGTTCCTTGGCGCGGCCGGGAGGGGGAATGTGCTGGGAGTCAGACCTGGGTCCTCTGCAAGAGCAGCCGGTACCCTTAACCACTGAGCCGTCTCTCCAGCCCCAGATGCTCAGCTTCATTACTTTAGTTTGCTGAGGATTTGAGGAAAAATAGTAACAGTTTGGGAAATCATTTAAGCGACCTGATGCCTTGAATGAAGAAAGCAGCTTTCTGAACATCAAAAGTAACTTTTAGATCAAATGAATGTTCCAATTTAAAAATTAATTCTGGTTTTAAAAGTTCCCCATAGTTTGGGCTGAGTCATCTTCTTAAGCCTTGCCAATCATTCTAGGCAATTATCATTCGTCTCGGACAGTAGTGTGCAACACGCAGAATGGCTAAGAGACCGGCTTCCTTAAGGAATTTACAGTCTACTGAAAGAGAAAAAAAATAAATAAGGAAGGTTGCAGAATTTAAATATTAGAGATGATTAAAGACCAGGACGTAAGGGCTTTGGAGTCAAAGCAGTAGACATAAAACCAAAGCAGTAGACATAAAACCAGACCTTGAAGGATCTTGGGGCTGGTGTTGGCTTCGGTGGGAAGGCCCTGCGGAAGGAAGCTCTCTCCCCACATCGACGTGGGTGGAACCAGAGTGGGTGTCAGGGCTGTGTGACCTTCTACCTCCTGGGATTCAGCAGAGGGGCTGACCCTTCTGCCAACAATCAGAATGAAATCTGTCCAGGACCTTTGGACCAAGTCCTTAGACTTGGCCTGAGCCCTGGGCTGTCCCTTCTTTCAGTTCTGTCTCTCCCTCGGTGTGTAAGAATACCTACCGCCAGTATCTGGTCCGGTGGAGATGGCTCAGTGGGTAAACACTCGCCATTGGAGCCTGACAATTTGAGTTCGATACCCAGAACCCACGTAAAGATGGAAGGAGAGGAGGGCGCTAATGGTGTGGAGTTGTCCTCTGACCTCCACATGCCCACTATACACATATGTCTCACACACACACACACACACCACACACACACACACACACACACACACACACACACACACACACACACACACACACACACACACACACACACACACACGTGTGATAATACAAACTTTTTTAAAAAGTACAACTTCTACCTCTTAGCTGGGAGGTGGTCTCTGAAGGCTGAGAAGAGGGACGAGGCCTCTGGTGACTGAGGATCCTCTGGCTTCAACCAACACCGCTCTGGGTGCTAAGAAACTCTCCACAAAGCACCAGATGCTCCCTCCTGCCATCCTTCCCCCCCTACTCCCCCTCTTAGAGAAATCATGTCTCGGCACACCCCCCCCACCCTTCAAGGGACACATTCTCATTTCTAGAGAACTTCTTCTCTCCTCCTCTGGCTACAGGCACGGCATCTATTTGCCCTGAGCTGACATGTGCCGCCATCAGCTCTTACCTTCCAATGAGTTCCCCAAGGGGGCACGGTCCCTCTGTCTTGAAACCCAGAACCCACAGCCTTCTTCTCCTTGGGGCCAGTCAGAAATAAGTTGGCCTACTCACTGGATTAAACTAGGCTTTACAGGATGCCAAGGAGGATGTTCATGCCTTCCTGCGTCTTGGTGGAAACTATTGGCACAACCACAGACTATACTCAGGAACGTAAATCCACTTTGCTTCACATGCCAAGAAAGCCTGGGCTCTTCCACGCCAGGCAGGGGTTCATCCCAGCCTCACCCCTATCCTGTGAAGTGTCTGAATTTTCAAAAAGGGGACGAGCCAGGACAGTTCTCTTGGGGGGTGTAGCATAGAGGTTGGTTTAACTGCATAGATGTTGATTTAGCGGCCGCGGGTACCCAAGAACTTGTAGAGATGCTTGGAAAATAAGAAACTCTCCCCGCATCCACGTGCTCTGATGTCGAGTACATGTGAAGAAACTCAACACTACTCATGCCCATTAGAAGCCTGTTCCAAACGAGAATTATGAGAAAGTGTTCACTGGGAACTTGGTCACGGTGGTCAGTGTCTTCCACGGAGGTGGGTAGGCATGCACAAGGAAAAAGGTAGACATTCCCAAGTGCTTGGGACCTTCTTACAGGCCATGTTTGATGCTAATGTACAACCAGTGGATAGAGATGCCCAGGTACAAAGTCTGTTATTATTCAAAACCCTGGTGAGTACTGGGGGAGCATAGCATGGTGTCCCCTGTCTCAGGTACAACTTTTTTAATAGCATCATCACTTATGGATATGGAGATATAACTTCATAGTAAGCGGGGAGAGGAGCCAGAGAGATGGCTGTTTTCAGAGCACTTGATCTCCCAGAGGACACAAGTTCTGTTCCCAGCTCCACATCAAATGGCTCACAACCACCTATCACATCAGTTCCAGGGCATCTGACACCTTATTCTGGCCTCCATGGGTGCCACAAAGACACATACTCATACACATGAGTCTTTTTTTTATGGTGAAAGATCCCTTGCACCCCCATCCCCACCCCCCACCCCCACTGCAGGAAGCAAGGTGCTTATGAAGCCTTACAAAGTAGTCATACTATTTCCATATTATGGGTAGGAAAACTGAGGCTTGGAGAGATGTGCCCAAGCTTTCATGGCCACAAAGGGGTCAAACTAGATTTCAAGCCCTTCTCCTCTCTGACCTCTTGGCTCACTGCTTTTAATTCCCTCCCCCCACTCCCCCACATGTACACCACCTTCTACCTTCTTTAATGATACGTTTTTATACAGAAAGTATTTTCCTATTAAATATATATATATAGATATATAGTTATTGAAAAGCTTTTGCACCTTTCAGTGTCACAGGCACCAAAGATTTTATCAAGGAAGAGGAGACCCAACCTGGGGAGATTGACAGTCAGTCCGGAAATGCACAGCTGCAGAGCATCTGGGGAGAGAAGCAGGCAGAAACTACAGCTGTCGGCAAAGGCCCCGGCACCCCTGGGCGTAGGTAAGGACTGTGGCTGCCATCTCGGTCCTTGGGGAGGACTGACGTGCGCTAGTGCTTTGTGGATTACTGTGACTTTTATCCATCTTTGCCTTTATGTGATGGGGAGTTACCTGTAAATGAAACCCTTGAAAGGTTCAAAAAGTAAACTATTTAATAACAGGTTTATTTTCTCCAAGAGAGGCCGGTGGAAAAAGGAATGGGTGGAGGTGATCTTTTATTTCTCTCTCCCATTACGCCATGAGAATGACTACATGGTTTTGTATGGACTTGGGCCTGGGGGGGAGGGGCACAGACCCAGCCTGCAGTTCTGGGGAGGTCCCACCTGGCTATAGTGCCCACACATCCATCAGGAGAGGACTGATGTCCATGGGTGGCAGACTGATCACCTCCCTCGGGGAGCTTTTCCTCTGTGATCCAGAGCAACCACACCAGCAAGATCTTTTAATGTGTAAGAAATAGTTTCAAAATGAAAGTCAGCTTCATTTCAAAGCAGTAGCTTAGTGGAGCCTTCCTCTCCGAGTTTCAGGCCTGAGCTGGCATCAAAGGCCCACACCGTGCAGTCAGCTGACCCTGCCACCCTCTCCTGTAGCGGTGCCAGCCTTCCGTGAGAGAAGCCATGGGCATCACGCCTTGTTATTGACCAAATACAGCAGCCTTCCTATCTAAATGAGATGCGTGTAAACATGGTGATGAACACTTACAGAAGAACCAGGGGTGCTGGGACGACTTGGTGCTGAGGGTGGCCAGAGTACAGATGAGCCTGGAATGATGACACATCCTCAGGGGCCCAGTGACAGAGGGCCTCCAGGAGGGAAGGGCAGAAGCCTCAGAGCAGACTGCCCGTCTAAAACTCTAATTCCCTCCGTCTCCTAACAGTGGGGTCCGGGTGGTCACACAGCCCCTCCAGACTCCAGCTCTCTCGTCTTAAAATAAGGGTGAAGAAGCCTTCCTTACTGCTTTGTCACAATGACAAGTGACATAAAAGAGACAAGTGTGGGACACACAGCAGGCCCGGTGTGCAAAATGATCACGCGCTCTACCTGCCCTCTCCCCAATGGCCATTGTCCATGTCAATGAGCTTTAAGATACGATTTGAACCACGAGGTTCTCTGCGCATGGAGCATAGAGTTTATGTAAGCCTCCATCCATACCCAGGGTGTGTCTTCCTTTATGTGGGGGTCCACAGGGGACTTGTTCCAGCTTTCTATTATAGTGAAGCCTTTCTCTTCCTCACTGTTATATTATACCCCAATTACACTGTCCCCTTAGTTCCTTTTCTCCCATTCTTATATAACTGGAATGTGAGCCAGTGACTTGAACCACTGGGGAGAGGTTTGGGACAAGTGTGACCAAGGCAATAAACAGAAACTCTGAGAAATCAAGTTTTTTTTTTAAAAAAAAAAATTCCCATGTGAACACATAGTGGAAAGGGGGAGGGGCATAACAGACAGTTTCCCATGAGTCCACTAATAAACACATTTTAAGTGCAGCCTCAATAAACGGAAATTCACCTGTGAGTTAAACTGAGCCTAGCAAATTGACTAAGGTTCTAGAATAATAGCTGATACTGGCAGGGAAGTAATTCTAAGCCTTCCTGGGCTCCGTTGTGCCAGATGCTGGTGACACAGATGGCTGGTGACCCTGCTATGACAGAGATGCTTTCTTGTCCTATCTGCAGGGCAGTGTGGTGCAAACTGTCTGCAAAGGAATTTGACAACATGTGTCAAAAGCCTCTGGAAGGTTCATCACTCCCAGCCTGGCAATTCCACTCTCATCAATCTATTCTAATAAAAAGAAGACATGTTGTCCAAGATTAGTGAGCAAGGCTGTTCACCACAGTGTGACCTGTGCTACAAAGCCTCAAAATGAGAAAAGAAAATGTATGCGTGTGTGTGTGTGTGTGTGTGTGTGTGTGTGTGTGTGTGTGTGTGATACATGGTAAAGTGCTTGTTTTGCAAACATGACAATCTGAGTTCTATCCCTCAGAACCCACATAAAATTCTGTGTGGAGTGGTGTCTGTGTGTGATCTCAGCGCTGGGGAGGGGGAAGGGTGGGCCAGCAGAAACAGGCAGGTCCCTGGAGCTTGCTGCCCACCTAGTCTAGCTGAATCAGTGAGATCCCAGTTACTATTCTTTTGCAGTGTTGAAACCCCATGACCAAGACAACTTATAAAAGAAAGCATTTAGGGGCTGAAGAGAAGGCCCAGTGGATAAAAGAGAGCATTTACTCAGGGGCTTGCCTACGGTTTCAGAGGGTGAGCCCATGACCATCACGGTAGGGAGCATGGCAGCAGGCAGCTAGGCATGGCTCTGGAGCAGTAGCTGAGAACATACATCTGATCCACAAGCACTCAGCAGAAAGAGAGTGGGCCTGCAGTCAGCCACCCACAGTGACACACCTCTCCAACAAGGCCACACCTCCTAATCCTTCCTAAACAGTCCACCAACCGGGAACAAAACGTTCAAATATGCAAGCCTATGGAGGCCGTTCTCATTCAAACCACCACAGACACTGTTTTTAATAAATAAAGTTGAGAGCCAATTGAAAAAGATACCCAATATAGACTTCTGGCCTCTACACACACATGCACACTCATGCACATGTGCACACACACACACACACACACACACACACACACACAAAGATATATCTATCTATCTATCTAGATAGATAGAAATATGCATATATTGCCACATATCTATATATACATATATGTCCATATATACATATATGTCCATATACATATACATATATATACTAACACACACTCACACACCCAGCATATGCATATATACAAGGCAAGAAAAAGAAAGTTGAAGACATTATGACATATTCATACTGCAATTATGATAGTATTCTTGAAAACTAACAAGAAAATATTTAAGGAAAGAAAGAATATATACTTGATATACAGCAATGAACAACCTTTGCTTTTTTTTACAATGCCTCCAGATAAGGGTTACAAGTTCATGTCTTCAGGAAGCTGGTGGGTATGGGAAGAGAAATAGAAAATGAGTTTTGAGGCCTGTGGTAAACCACAAACACCACGTTTCCACCTCCAGTACTTTACTCAACATCCAAACTCTGAGCCACAGAGCTGTTGCAGGGTGAAGATAACCCGGGGGGTTGACTTTGCAGCTCATGCCTGAAGAGTCCAGCACCTGAGTGACGTCCAGCTGGGCTTTTGGTTATGGGAGCCTTGGACCATTTCATCTTCTCTAGTTCCTGAGTTTTCCTCCAATAGTTATGGATCATATTTCTAACCAAAGGTGGGTGGGTGGGTGGGGGGGAGATATATTGTTAGAATTCAGGACAGCACTGGTGAGGATCACAAGAAAGTTCAAGACCAAAGGCATAGTTCCGGGCCAGACAAACACTTCTTCCAGTTTCACTTCAATGAGCCTAGACCTCCTGGAGGCAGCAGGCACTCAGTCCGCAGCTGGAGCCAAAGCAGGGCCTCAGAGAAGCACCCAGCAGCTACGAGGCAGGCAGGGGCTATGAATAGCACATCCCTGGCATACCGATTGAGTATTCCCAGCCCACAGCTACTGAAGTCTGCTCCAGTTTTGATACACACACACACACACACACACAAAAGGGGTTCAAATAGCATAAATATAGAATTGCACAGACTGACACCTTTAGGGAAAACGCACACATGCACACACACATACACACTCATGCACATGCACACACATGCTTCCGTGCAGCTCTGGTTGAATTTCCAAGATGAAGGAGATTGTGGTGACAAGGAGGAGTGGTCCGAGGAAGCCTCGGGACCTTCAACACGGCACAGAGCTGAGACTTCTGCCCCAGGGACCCGTGTCACACCATGACAGCTTCGGCGAAATGATCTCAGGGTTCCTGTGAGGTTCCAGCCGCCCAGCTGACTCTCTCATCTCCCCCATCGGAAGGCTGAGCTAAATCGGCTCTTTGCTCCAGGGCAGCTCCTTGCCATCTTACAGATGGGTGTGTTCAGAGAGAGGAGGAGGCTCAGGGCCACAGCACTGTTGGCCAATTTTGGGGGTCCTTCTCAAATTCAAACTATGAAATGATCAATTAAGATGCTATACTTTGACTTTGCATCTCTTTTCTTCCTTAAAAAATGGGGTGTGGAGGTGTCCGTTAGAAAGTGTTTGACTTGCAATTATGTGACCTTAGTTCAACCCCAAGAACACGTTGGGGGGTAAGGTGTGGTGGCACATACTTTCAATCCCAGGGCTGGGGAAGCAGAGACAGGCGGATCCCTGGAGCTCGATGACCACCTAACCTCCTTGGTGAACTACAGGCCAAATGAGAGACTCTGCCTCTAATTAATTAATTAATTAATTAATTAATTAAGAAAAAGAAAAAAATATGTAGACAGCACCTAACTTTTCCTCTGGCCTCCATACACACACACACACACCACACACACACACACACACACACACACACGCTCGCCCGCCAGGATGCAGTTGGCTGTATCTAGATGACATTAGTTCCCCAAACATGGACCAGCCCAGTGCCCAACAGATTGGGCATCCAAGCTCTATTTCTGTTCAGACATAGCCAAATGCTCAAAGCATCCTTGAATTGTTGACACATCTCTTGCCGGGGTTTATAAACCCCACGAGAGGCCCAGTAGGACAGTTTAACTGATTTCTGGAAGGGCTGATGAGTAAAGATTCGCACTGTGTCACTGAGTGTCCCACGCAGCTAACAATAAAAGAAGCTTACAGAGTATTAGGACATGAGAGAGGCGAGCTGCGGCTCCCCTGCGAGGCACCTCAATTAAAGGCAGTATTGACTTGGCCTCAGCTGGACCGGCTGCTCAGCGGATTTGCATTTCCCCCAGCAGAGTTGTTATCAAGAACCTGGGGACCTGGTGGCATCCTGTCCACTCAACAGGCGAACTAAGCGATAAGGACAGTAGAGCTTCATCAGATCTGCAGAAGAGCAGGGACGGACACAGAGGGGGTTAGCCATGTCAGTAGGGAGCGAGAAGAAGTGGAATCACAAAAGCACTTTCAATTTTTTACCCACATGGGGTGAAAAGCCCTAAACCACATGTGTGCATCCCATTAGATCCCATTGGTCCTCATTTTTTTGTGAGGAAATTGCAAAACCCAGGGAAGGTTTTCAGGGAATTGCCCAGGGTAGTGGTAAGGAACACAAGCCCTAGCAGACCTTGGGCTCGAATGCTCACTACCTACAGCACTTCTAGGAATATGACCTTGGGCAAGTCATGTGACCTTTCCCCTCACCTTGGTACCCTCTGTCGGAACATGATGTGAATGCAATATCTACCTCATAGGACTGCAAAGCTTCCCTGAGTGGATTAGCTGGTATGGTTTGACTAGTAAGCATACTTGGTAAAAAGTGCTTATTATTTGTACAAAGAGAGGTTTGTTTTTTAATAGGTGTGTTTGTCTGTATGCAGGGGCACGTAGAGGATGGTGTGTGTGTATGTGTGTGTGTGTATGGAGGCCAGAGGACAATGTAGGTTGCCATTGTCAGGAACATCACCCAACTCCCTTGAGACACAGGGTCTCTCAACGGCCTGGAGCTCACCAGTTAGGCTAGGCTGGCTTGCCAGTGAGTCCCAGGGATCCTCCCGACTGTCCTGCCCCTCCCCACCCAGGGCTGAGATTACAGTTGTGCCACCAACAACAACCATTTATTTGACTTGAGTTCTTGTGGTCCAACTCAGGTCTCATGCTTGTGAGGCAAATACTCCGCAGACCCAGCCACCTTCTCAGCCCCACAAAGTTAAGTTTGAATAAGTTATCTCACTGATAAAAACTGACTTGCTGGACATCTCCTCACAGCTTGGAATAAGGAAGCAGGGATTCTGTGCCAGCCAGATGTTATAGAGGCCAGTGGCAAAGAAGAGATAATAATTTCTTGGGAGATTTATAACTTTTATTTACACTAAATGGTGAACTTAATCACAATCATTGTGTACCCAGACATTAGCTTTGAGAGCCGTCTTCCCTGTTTACCAAAATGAAACTATACTTTCCTTGAGTTTTTATTTAAAAAGTTGTGTGTGAAGTAGGGATGTCATAAATACATGTGGGATCGACTTGGATGAGAAAGGACCAGTGGGTTTTATGTAAATCACTCCCACACTGCTATTTTTCCTTTTCAACAAATACAGAGAAGGTTAGCTCCCCTGTGCTGAGCTGGCCTGGAGCTGGACCAGTCTCACTGAGATCCTGTAGAAAGAATCTGCGGCTTCATGGTTGCCCCCTTCTCCTGAACCACATTCTGAGCGTCACAGATATAAACCCACACACATGCGAACTCACAGGTGTGAGCGCCACAGATGTGAACCCACACACATTGCGAACTCACAAGTGTGAGTGCCACAGATGTGAACCCACACACATGCGAACTCACAGGTGTGAGCGCCACAGATGTGAACCCACTCACATGCGAACTCACAGGTGTGAGCGCCACACATGTGAACCCACACACATGCGAACTCACAGGTGTGAGCGCCACAGATGTGAACCCACTCACATGCGAACTCACAGGTGTGAGCGCCACAGATGTGAACCCACACACATGCGAACTCACAGGTGTGAGCGCTGCAGGGTGAGCCTCAGAAAGGAGAACGCAGAGGCAGTAAAGAGAAATCCACCCTGAGGTTTTCCTCGCAGGCTTCTGGCATTCCTGCCCTCGGGTTGCACAGATCTTCTTCTCTCTCCAGGGCTTTATCTGTTGTTACTGCCTTTGCCAGAGAGGGGCTTTTTCCCGTGGGTACTTTTAACAGAATTTGTCTCTTCTCAACACAGATCCAATTGTCCAACAAAAAAGTCTGATGTGTGCAAACGAGACTAAGCTGAAGAGGCCAGCTCGAGAGAGAAACTTGGCCTCCTCCGCAGAGCTCATGAGAACAGCTGGGAAGCCCCTCGAGAGACAGAAAAAGGGAGACCCAAGTGTTCGTCCCCAGAACGAACCCCACGCTGCCCTCTCACAGACCTTCCAGCCAATGAATGGTTCTCAAGTGCTGAGTGAGCCCCTGGGGGCCCCACTCCTCCCCACCACCGTGGTAGGACCAAGAAGGGCACCGTTTCGGTACCACGACGAAGATTTTTACTCCGCCTTGTCATTAAGCAATGAACAAGAAAACTATGACACGGAAGAGGAAACCCGCATGGAAGAGGAACTTCTGCTGGTTGGGATGCGTTCTCCTCCCAGCCATAAGAGAAGCCGATTTCTTGGGACATCCACCACTGAAAACAGAAATGTTGAGGAAAATGCTGAAAATCTCCGAGGAAATTTTTTAAGATGGAATGAGTTCAATCCTGGATCTCCAAGAAAAGGCAGTACCACAGAGCCAGCAGCCAAGCAGTCTTCTGCCGAGCAAAGGGTGCCGCAAGACACCAGGCTATGTGGGGAGCTGGCTAAAGAGGACCCCAGTGGAGACCAAGAAGAGGAGAAGACTGCTCTTTCAGGGGATGCCAAATCTAATGATGTCATCCGAGACAGTGCTGAAGGTGAATCCAGTGACTGTCCTATGGGAGACAGGCCCACGGTTTACCATTATGAGAGAGACTGGCAAAGTTACTTAAGTGGGTCTCGGAATTCGTTCGACAGCTTATTTTCTGGGAGACCCACAGCTCCAAGATCGTCCATGAATGCATCTTATAACACCCATGGGTCCCCGCTGCATTCTGCTCTGATAGATGATGTCCCCACAGGCTTGTCCATGTCATCGATTCTAGTCCCCAGTTCAGATATGGAGGAAAGCCTGAGGTTCAATGCGCGCCGGCCACTCTCGCCAATCAGAAATAGGAATCCATTGGCCACTACTGAAAACCACAGTGATGACATCCCGGGAGCGGAGGAGATGACTTCAACAAGCCAAGCTCAGGGGCCTCCATTATTGGCAGAAGATCTATCAAATCCTCAAAGCAGCGTGACCTTGGGAAATTCTCCCAGCTCTTCTACAAGAAGACATTTACAAGGCCATTTCTATATGCCTGGGTCCCTGCAAGAAAACACACCTTTTACTTTCTTTGCACTGTCTGATTTTCCAAATCCAAATGATCATGAGACCAGCGTTAGAGTCTCTGATGTCATGGATGAGAAGGGGGCCACAGAAATAAAGGCAGACCCCGAGAAACTCAGGAAATTGCAAGAAAGGTAAGGACTTGTTATAGCCACACACTTCTTCCCTATTCCACTCCCAGCCTCCCCTCACTAACTCTGAGCTGAGATAACCATTGCTTTCATTAGAGAAATGTGGGAATCTTAAATCTCAGGCATGTTCTTCCTTGACATGCCAATGAGACTGCTCGTTTTGAGAAAATCGTCCCTTTCATTACCCTTAAAAGATATGTATGTACAAAGAGGAGTTTGGCAATCCACTCAGTTTTATCCATATATCCCCAAAGTGTCTTTTTCCTTAAATACTGTAAGAAGGGCACCTAAAGCCGGGTGGTGGTGGTGGTGCACGCCTTTGATCCCAGCACTCTGGAGGCAGAGGCAGGAAGATCTATGTGAGTTCGAGGCCAGCCTGGTCTACATAGGGAGTTCCAGGACAGGCTCCAAAGCTACACAGAGAAACTCTGTCCCGAAAAAACAAGAGAAAAAATGAGCGAGGTCTGGCCACATGGCCCTGTAGGTAAAGGTGACAGACAGTCTTAGGAGCTGAGTTCGTCCCCAGGACCCCCACAGTGGAAAGAGAGAACTGACTCTCCTAAGTTGCTCTCTGACCTCCATATTCCCATTGTCAAACACACACACACACACACACACACACACACAGAGAGAGAGAGAGAGAGAGAGAGAGAGAGGGGAGAGAGAGGAGAGAGGAGAGAGGCACACATGAACCCACACACGCACAGAGTAAATGTTTTTTAAAACGAAAAAATAAGGGGAAAAAATAGAAAGGCCGATTTCCAGGGACACAGGGACACCTGGTAACACAGGCTCTCCCCTCTTCTCCCAGCAATTAGCTAGGATCTTTTTTTTTTTTCCTGAAAAGGTTGCTAACTCCCCAGAGAAGGAACCATCAGCTCTTGAAGTTCACAGCTCTCCCTCTTGAGACTCACTGCAAATCCAACCAACAGTTCTAGGATTTAAACCTTCCAAGCCAAAAGACCGTTCCCAGTTACCATAGTTACCCCAGTTCTCCAAAGGGTGGGGCTGGAGCAACCACTGCCTCCATTTTAAGTGTGCGTGGCTCTCTCTCTCTCTCTCTCTCTCTCTCTCTCTCTCTCTCTCTCTCATGCATGAGAGAGAAAAACAAGATCCCTTTTTGAATTGCCCTTTTCTTTGATCTTTCCCTTCTCCTGAGGTGAGTTTGGGATATTTCACAGCTATGAAACTGGATACTTTTTAAAGCCTTCATTAAACAGTCAGAAATCTGCCATCTCTTTTTATGATAGGTGTTTACTGTGCCCAAATCTTGGCTTAAGGATCTGGAAATTGATTCTTAGAACATGAACCTTCTTTGTACATGTTAGTATGGCTCCTCCGGGCCATTAATTACCCTATTGATGTCCATTTGGAAGCAGGAAATTTTCACCACAATGAGTTAAAAATGGAAAGGGGGGAAATAAAACAGACTATATACAGTCCTCTTCAGAAAAAAGAGCTTGCTTTTCTTTGTTTCATACGTGTGTGCACGCATGCCTCTGTGTGTGTGTGCACATATGTGTGTACACGCACATGTATGTGCCTGCCTGTGTGTGAGTGACCATGTAGAGGCCCGCACTTGACATCAGGCGTCTTCAGTCACACTCCACTTTACTTGTTGAGGCAGATTATCTCACTAACTCAGAGCCCTCCAGTTCCTGCTGGTCTAGCTCGCCACAACTTTCCTGCTGGGTTTACAGGCAGCTCCACACCTACCCTGCTACATGAGAGCTTCCTAGTTGTCCATGTCTTTTCTTCTCATAGTTAAACAAGCTACAAGAAGACAATCCATGGTTAAGACCAAGAGTCCTCACACCCACCCATCTCCACCAACCCCGAAATGTAGCTTCAGTTATACTTGTCAGATGTCTGGACTCCAACCATCCTAACATAATGTCTTTGGATTCAAAATAGTTTCTTTTAAAATGCAAGCGCTTCTAGACATGGGCCTTTGCATTAAACAGCTATCATCCACGGGGTCTTTGTTTTTTCAGTGCTCTCTTTTTCCGTATATAACAAATCTTAATATTTATCTTTTCAAAAATGTCTAATTTAGGAAATGTTTGTAAATGAAGATTTGTTTATTTATTTATTTTGAGATAGCATCTGACCATGCAGCTCTGGCTGTCCTGGAACTCACTCTGTAGACCAGGCTGACCTCAAACTCATAAGATATCTGCTTGCCTCTGCCTCCCAAATGCTGGGCATTTGTGGAGGCTCCCCCCACCCCCGCCCCGACAGTAAGTAGTTGTCCTTCTGGTGTAGATTGGCAAAGATTGTCCCTGCTGGTCACACAGCCACCTGGGTCACGCATCCTGTGCTCTCCAGATACTGAGCGAACCCATCTGTGTGGAGGGTCTCTGCTGTTAGTCTAGTCTGTCTTTCCCTGACCTGGTGTCGTCACACTCTGAGGTCTGCGGCACTCGGAGGCTGTGATAAAGGACAGTCAGTGTACAGCCTCCCTCCCTCCCCAGGTTCTTCAGAGAGTCCTGACTACACACTTCAGGGTCTGCTGGCTGGGGCTCTTTCATGGAAATTACACTGGACCTATGTGCTAAGGCTGACAGCTTTGAAACTCGGACTCTTGGTTTGCATGGCATCTCTCTCCCCTGTGTCCTGATGCACTGCTATCATTTTCTCTACAAAAGCCCTTCGATTCATCTCTAGTTCTTTCATTTGCTGTTGTTTGCTATTGAAATGATATTTTCAATTCTAACTCTTTGTGTCTCATGTATAGAAATGCAATTGAGTATAATTTTTATTTTCTCTGTGTTTCGTTAAACTCTCTTTTTGTGTACAGTACTTTGTAGATTGTTTTGGTTTTCTGTGTAGAAAACAATTTTGACAGGGACTAACATTTTCATTCCTCTCCTTTCAAACCCTATATTTTTAATGCTGTTTTAAATCTTACAGTATTGTATCAATTTTTAAAGGATGACTGGTTCTATATTAAATGTTTATTGCCTTCTGATGAGTCTCCTTTCAGAGCATAACCTCACTTGCTTTGCCTGTAATAGCATCTAGAAACACACACCTGCTCATCAAAGGGAACACACCTGCCTCAGGTTCATAGTGTGCATTATAACATCATTTCAAGAAAGTTCTAGGTGCCAGGGAGACAGCTCAGTTGGTACAGTGCTTGCTGTGGTCTTATGAGGGTCTGAGGTTGGGTGCCCAGCCTCCACGGAAAAATCCAGGCTGAGACAGGAGAATCCTTGGGACTTGCTGGCCAGCCAGACTTGCCAATCAGCGTGCTCCAGGTTCAGTGAGAGACCCTGGCTGAAAAATTAAGGTGGGGCAGCACAGCGTGGTGGCACACGCATCTAATCCCAGCACTCAGGAGGTCGACTCAGGCCAGTCTCTGTGAGTTTAAGACCCAGCTGGTTTATGTAGCAAGTTCCAGGCCAGCCAAGCTGCACAGTGAGACCCTATCTGGGGGTTGGGGAGAGCAATAGAGGAGAACACTCAGCATCAACCACTGGCCCCCACATGCACATATGTACACACACATGGGCACATACACACATACACACACGCACACATAATCAAACCTTGGGATATCATCCCCTACAGCTCCTGCATTTTCTGCCACACAAAGACCACTCAAGTGTTCGTAATTATTTTCTTCTAGTATTTTTATTTTCTTAGTTTATACAGCATAGAGCAACAGTTCTCTGTGGGTCACAACCCTTTTGGGGTCACATATCAGATATTTATATTAAGATTCATAACAGTGGCAAAATTACAGTTATGAAGTAGCAAAGAAATAATTTTATGTTTGGGGATTTACCACAACATGAGGAACTGTATTAAAGGGTCATAGCATTAGGGAGATTGAGAGGTTGACATAGAGATTAATGATATGGGCTTTTTTTTTTTTTTTTTTTCAGTTCTAGTTTGCGTTTCTGAACATAGCTCAAAAGCTTCCGAGGCCAGTTTTGAACCCAGGAGCTCTGACTATGACTCCTGTGAGTTTACCAGCTTACACAGATAGCTTCCTCAGGGTGATTAAGGCAGAGAGAAGGGCTCTCTCAGCCTAATCCCTCACCCCCACCGCCACCATTTTGGACTGATGGGAATTAAAACCATGACCTCCCTCCTGCATGCCAGACACACACTTGACCACTGAGTTGCATCTTGATACTCACTCCCATGGAGCTCACACTTATAGTGACTGCATCAATGATCAATAACTCCATCTGGAGAGTCCTCACAGAGTCAGGAGCCCAGGCAGACAAGGCATGGGGGGATTGTTCCTTCCTCCTCCTCCCATGAATACGTTGGGAAATGGTATTTATAGAAACAACGAATGTGGGGACTCTGGTCACGAGGCCTTGTTTTCTGTTTAGTCTCCTGGAGGAGGACTCGGATGAGGAGGAGGGAGACTTGTGTCGAATCTGTCTGATAGCCGGGGGTTCCCCAACCAACCCCCTCCTGGAGCCTTGCGGTTGTGTGGGCAGCCTGAAGTTCGTTCACCAAGAGTGCCTGAAAAAGTGGCTGAAAGTGAAAATAACATCAGGTAGGTGGAGAAGGAAGAGAGGCTAGCGTGCTGCGGCGGCATGTAATTAATCTGAGATGCCACAGTGTGGGCCTGGGAGCCTCGTCAGCAGCCCACTGTCAGGGAAGTGTGGCCATGCTCGGGATTCTTGCTTCCAAATGCTGTGATGGGAGGGTAAATGGATGTGGTGTGTGTGTGTGTGTGTGTGTGTGTGTGTGTGTGTGTGTGTTTAAATCTGAGACAATCTTGGAAACAAATTCTCCTCCCCCTTGAGGCTTGGACAAGATGATAAGCTCATCTCCTAGGAGGAAAGGAGATGACGTGGGTTGCCAGTAACCCCTCAGCAAACATATGGTAGCCCTGTCCAGTTAATAGCACCAAAAGGTCCATCATGAGAGACTCCCCACAAATACATATAGAAGTCTACTTCATTTGCAGGGTGGGGGTGGGGTGGGGGCTATCACTTAAGAACCCAGTGGGGGCTAGGGAGATGACTCGGTGGTTAAGAGCACTTGTTACTCTTGCAGAGAACCAAAGTTCAGTTCCTAACCCACATCGGGCAGCTCTGGGGAATGTGATACCCCCTTCTGGCCTCTGTAGGTACTCACACACGTGTGTGCGTACCCATGCTCATAAATAAAAATCTTTTTTACAAAGAGCTCAAGCAAAGCTGCCTGCTTGCCAGAGGGGTAAGTAGCGCGTCACTCTGATTTTCTAGATTACATTAAAGGGCTTCGAATGCGGCGGCTTTGTCAGACTGATCTCATAGCTGGGCGTGAAGCCCCCTCTCAGTTCTCCCAGGAAGTGACAACCTAAATACAGACACATGGGAGGTTGGCTACAATGTTCTTGGCAGAGAGTAAAGCATGCCTTTCATAATGAGGGAGGAGCTAGACTATCTAGGCTGGGGGAGGTTAACTGAAAGGGACTCTGTCATAGCGGTCAAGTAGAAAATGGCCACTGTGTCTTTCAGCCCACCCTCCCTGGAACTGGTACTCCTCAGCCAGATCCTGTTTCTCTTTTCTTCTTATCGGTCTCAGGCCAGGTAGCAGATCTAGAGCTTTACCCTGCCCCCACGGGCTGTAGCCCTGTGCCCTCACCATAGCATGTCATCAGGGTAATCATATTAACTGACTCTCTATCTCTCCATGGGTGCATCTTTCCTCCCACAAGAAATACAGAATCAGTCCCCAAATGCATAAATCCATATCCACAAGCAAAGAACTCAATCCAAATTGGGGAGGAGTACACTGATTGCTAACGACTCTTCCATAGCCCTGCCTACTCCTTCCCTGGGGAGATGCAAACAGTGTCTACCTCTTCGTAAGTCCCCAATGACAAAGTATGATTCCACCAAAGTTTAACCTGGAGAACCAGTGAGTTTATTGGGCCTAGTCACAGAGCATGAAGGAGTTATTGGCAGGATCGTGGGGGACCCCAAAGCAGCTGCCCTGGAAAGTCTCCACCCATAGCCACATAAATGGAACCCCTCTTCAATTTCCCTCCCCCAACCTGGATACTCTAGGGCCTCTCTAGCCCCTCAAGCCACATGCAGTTAGGGCATAACTGCATACAAATGGCTGGGAGGCATGCCTGGAAACTCAGTGAGGGCCCAGTGACTCTCCTTGTCAACAGACCATAGGCCCTGGCTGTTGTGGCCTCTCAGCAAGCAGGCACAGCTAATCTGCTGCCCATGTGGCTGTGTCCCTTAGAGGATCAAATTCTACAACAGCCATGCAAAGGCTTTCTCTTACTAGAAATTCAAGCCAATTAAACATTTAGCACAGGCCAAAAAGAAAGGAAAAAGAAACAAGTTAAACACGATGCTATTTTGGGAGCTTGAATATGTTCAGCAGGATTAGAATGGAAGATACATGTCCAGTCACCAATCATTGCTGATGATGGAGAGAGAGAGAGGGGGAGAAAAGAAGGGAGGGAGGGAGGGAGGGAGGGAGGGAGGGAGGGGATGGAAGCAAACAACTGCAGAAAGGGGAAATGAACTGTTCACCCTGCCTTTAACAGTCTCTGTGATTCAGTATTTCTTCATATCCACAATAGAAAGCGAGACCTGGGGTGTGAGGCTGCAAAGTTCTGGTCATTAACTAGGTGCAGGTAACCGATATGTCTCCTAGTAAGAAACATTAGCTAGATGCTGCAGCTATAGTGTGTGAATGTGTGTGTGTGTGTGTGTGTGTGTGTGTGTGTGTGTGTGTGTGTGTGTGTGCAGCACTTTTATTTCCACAGAACAGCCATGGTTCTGCAGCTCCTGCTTTTGCCTTGGGGAAGCAGGACAAACTGGGCACAAGCAGAGCAAACACGGGTCACGTTTTCACACGGACAGCAGGGCAGGGAGCCTTCTATTCCTTTCCCCAAATGCGCCGAACCCAGACACTGCCATGCCTGGACTCCACACCCGAGCCTCACCCCCTTTCCTCGGGTGGGAGCAAAGGGAGATCTGGTAGCCAAAGCCATTGGCTGAGGATAGCATCTTCTGTGGATTTGGTACTGATTTATTTATTGCAGAACTGTTAGGTCTGCAAGGGATGGGGGAGACCATAGGTCCAACAGTCGCTCCTCCTGCAAAGGTCTGTGTTAGAGAGAGACTTCTTTCCGGGTAGCAATTCCAATTTTATGACCCATTATGTTTACATATTTAGATAGAAACAAGACCTGTTATTTGAAAGCCATGGAGATTTCACCTGCCTGAAGCTCAAATAATAAATGACCACAAAGGGAAAAAGATGTTCAGAGCTCAGATTCAAGGTCATTTTCTCCAGAAGATGACTGACTAGGAAAATCACTGAAGCTTGGAATTCATAACACACACAAGTTCAGTCTCAAAATATCTCCTGTCCAAAGTACCAGCACAGACTCAGAGTTGTATATAACAAAAGTAGCAGGGTGGGGGTGGGGTGGGGGGAGATAGTTGGAGAGATGGCTCAGTGGTAAGAGCACTTGGCTACTTTTCCAGAGGTCCTGAGTTCAATTCCCAGCAACCACATGGTAGCTCACAACCATCTGTAATAGGATCTGATTCTCTCTCCTGGGATGCATGAAGACAGAGCACTCATATATACAAAATACATGATTTTAAAAATGTGTGTGTGTGTGTGTGTGTGTGTGTGTGTGTGTGTGTGTGTGTGTGTGTGTGTGTGTAGAGAGAGAGAGAAATTCTGAACTATACTTTCTTACATATGATTCTTACTCTTGATTCCAGGAGCAGATCTAGGTACTGTGAAGACCTGTGAGATGTGTAAACAAGGCCTGCTGGTCGACCTGGATGACTTCAACATGACCGAATTCTACCACAAGCACCATCAATCCCGGGTAAGACATATCACTGCCACCTTCTTCCTGGTCTAGAGTAGGCAGGGGGCCTAGAGAAGACGGCTCGGTGGTTAAGAGCACTTGCTGCTCTTCAAGAGGATCTGGGTTTGATTCCCAGCACCCACATAATGGTTCACAACTATCTATAACTCCGGTTCCAGGGGACCCAATGTTCCTTCCCTTCTGGCATGTGTGGGCACTAGGCACATACATGTGTACATGCATAATACACTCATACACATAAATTAAATTAAATAAACCAGTCTTTAATAAATAAAAAACGTAGGTTAGAGGTTCGAGCAGAAAGCAACTTAAGCTCCTTTGGTCCAAGGATTTAAAAAGCCCAAGTGTGACCTGGGTTTGAGCCTTATTTGGCTCACTTCTTTGAGAAGGTATGTCACTAAATTGGAAAACTGAGAAGTCTCAGCCATCCTGGTTGACATCCACCTGCTATTGGGGACAAAATGGGGAGGCTGGAGTAGCCGACTGAACCTATGGAAACAGAAAGAAAAAAAAATCTGGGCAAACCCCATGTCCAAATTTGCTGAAATAATTTAATAACAACAACAGAAAATAAACTCAAGGTCTTGAGGGAAATGGTCCCCAACTTAAATATCAAGTATTCTGGGTAATGAGGACCTGCTAATAAGCATGAAGCAAACGCTTACTGTGTGCTTTATAACACCCGTGGAACTGGGGGATGGGATAAGTGGAGAAGACTCTCCTGGGGTATTTGGATTACATTGCTGAGAATGTGAAAAAGTTAATTAACCTCGGGTGGAAGGTGATTTATGCCCAAGGCAAAGTTAATCACTTAATTCTCAGGCAAACAATCTCCTATTTAGAACTACACTCTCCAATGGAGAAGCCACAAGCCACTTGTGACTAATGAGAAGGTGGCTAGTTCTAATCAATACATGTTGTATATGGTAAATACCCACTAAATCAAATACTTGATACCAAAAAAAGGAAAATAGCACCTTTTTTATATTAAATTTATACTTCCTATCCTGGTTAGTTTTATGTCAACTTGACCCACGCTAGAATCATCTGAAAGGAGGGAACCTATATTGAGGAAACGCCTCCATAAGATCCAGCTGTAAGACATTTTCTTAATTAGTGATTAACAGGGGAGGGCCCAGTCCATGGTGGGTGGTGCCATCCCTAGGCTGGTGGGCCTGGGTTCTATAAGAAAGCAGGCTGAGCAAGCCATGAGGAGCAACCCAGTAAACAGCACCCCTCCATGGCCTCTGCCTTGGCTCCTGCCTCCAGGTTCCTGTCCTGCTTGAGCTCCTGTTCTGACTTCCTTCAGTAATGAACAGCAAAACGAATGTGTAAGCCAAATAAACCCTTGCTTTTTAATCATGGTGTTTCATCACAGCAATAGAAACTTCCTTCATCTACTTGTCAATACTATAACAAAATGTGTGAGACTGGGCAACTTTATTAAGAAAACAGGCTTAGAGCTACAAGGGCAGTGGATGTCCATGCTGAGCACACACAAACACACACAGAGAAAGCTTATTGTGTAGATCATGTTCTTAGATTCAAGGGCCTATTATCTGGTGATGGTCTGCTTGCTGGCAGATTCCTGAAGCAGGACATGGCATCACATGAAAAGGGACAGGTAGCATGTGTGTGTGCATGTGTTCGTGCGTGTATGCTATGTGTGTGTGTGTGTGTGTGTGTGTGTGTGTGTGTGTGTGTTCTGATCTCACTCCTTTTTATAAGTCCACAAGGATGCAATCATGGGTCTTCATCTTGATATCCTTAGTTGAGCCTCTTCCCTCCCAAAGACCCTCTTTAAACAATAGGGTTAGATTAGCTTTCCAGCTTTTTTGTGGATTTTTAAGTTAGTGTTTTTACTTAGCATAAAAAAACAATTGGCGGCTGGAGAGATGGCTCAGTGGTTAAGAGCACTGGCTGCTCTTGAAGAGAACCCAGGTTCGATTCCCAGCCCCAAATGGCAGCCCACAACCTTTTGTAACTCCAGTTCCAAGGGATCTGACCTCCTCTTCCGGCCTCTGCAGAGTCCAGGCACACATGTGGTGCACAGACATACATGTAGGCACACACTCATACACACAAAATAAAAAATTTTCAAAAAGAAAACAATGGGGTTTATTATGACATTTTCATACATGTATACGTTTTTTTGGCCATATTCACACATACCATTGTAGGAGTCACAGAGGTCTTTGTGCTTGTGATGGGCACTAGGGGAGCCTGGAAGGTTGGCACACAAGGTTGTTCCTTCAAGGGAAGGAAGGCAATGCCTGTCATCCACCCAGAAGGCTGGGTCCAACATGTTTTCTAGCCTGGTGACCTTTATACTATCCGAGTGACTAGAGACTTTTTCTGCACCAGACCCTCCTCAGACCCCTGTGGGAAGCTTGTTTTTCTCAGTCTTTGGAGCCTGTCTTTATGGACTTTACAAAGAGTTTCCATGTAGTCACAGCTGATCCATATTTAGCTTACTTTGTTCCTCAAGGAGATTCATGAATGCTTTGAGGCATGCAGGATTGAGTTAATCATCACCAGAAAATGTTTCACCAAATTGTGCTGTGCTTAAATATGCCTACAAAATGAACCACTAGGGGTCAGACTCCAGAAGTTACAAACAATACCGGCTACTGAGTTGTCTTGAACCGAGACCTCCCGAGGCAAGTTGCTCCGCTGGCTGTGAAGGTAGCAGAGACTCCTGCATTCCCTGACCTGTCCCCTCCCCAGATAAGGTCTCCACCTTCAGACTTCACAGTGAGTATGTGAGCCAGCTTCCATCCCTACAAGGAAGCTTTGTTTTGGCTCCTGGCTCCAGAGGTTGTGGTCTAAGGTTGAGTGAGTTACTTCTGGCCTCTGGTGAAAGTGTGCTGCAGAAGTGTGGGAGAGCGAACTGATCACCTTTGGAGCCAAGAAGCAGCGGGAGAAAGAAGGCGCTAGTACTCAGCATTTTCCTTCAAGAGCATGCACACTCAGAGTGGCCTAAAGACCTCCCTAGGTCCCACTGCCTGAAGGTTTCACTTCCCAACAGTGTGGCCCCTGGGGACCAAAGCTCTAACACATGTGCCACAACAGCAGAGGAGCCCTTGGGGTAGCTCTGCTCTTCCAAAGGACCCAGGCTCGGTCCCCAGCACCCTTGTCTGCAATGCTGGCTCCAATTCAGACTCACTCTTCAGGCTACCATGGGCACGTCATGTATGTAGTATACATAGATACATGTAGGCAAAACATTCATACACATGAATCTGTCTTTAAAAAATTAAAAAGCAGCTGGGCAGTGGTGGCGCATGCCTTTAATCCCAGCACTTGTGAGGCAGAGCCAGGCAGATCTCTGTGAATTCGAGGCCAGCCTGGGCTACAGAGTAAGATCCAGGACAGGCACCAAAACTGCACAGAGAAACCCTGTCTCGAAAAACAAACAAACAAACAAACAAACAAACAAAAAATTAAAAAGCAGAGGCTGAACCAGGTAGTGGTGGTGCGCCTTTAATCCCAGCACTCAGGAGGCAGAGGCAGGCGGATCTCTGTGAGTTCGAGGCCAGCCTGGTCTACAGAGCGAGATCCAGGATAGGAACCAAAACTACACAGAGAAACTCTACCTCGAAAAACCAAAAAAAAAAAAAAAAAAAAAAAAAAAAAAAAGCAGAGGTTGGAAAGATGGCTCAGTGGTTAAGAGCACTGACTGTTCTTCTAGAGGACCTGGGTTCAATTCTTCAATTCCCATGGTGGCAGTTTAGCACTGTCTATAACTGAAGTTCCAGGGGATCTGACACCCTCACACAGACATATATGCAGGTAAAATACCAGTGTACATTTGGTGGTTTGAAAGAAAATGGCCCCAAAGGGAGTGGCACTATTAGGAGGTGTGGTCTTGTTGGAGTAGGTATGGTCTTATTGGAGGAAGTGTGTCATTGTGGAGGTGGGCTCTGAGATCTCAATATGCTCAAGCCATGCCCAGTGTCTCAGACCACTTCCTGTTGCCTATGAGTCAAGATGTAAGGACTCTCAGCTCCAGCACCATGTCTGCCTGCATGCCGCCATGTCCCACCATGATGATAATGGACTGAACCTCTGAAACTGTAAGCCCCCCATTAAATGTTTTCCTTTATCAGAGTTGTTGTGGCCATGATGTCTCTTCACAGCAATAGAAACCCTAACTAAAACACACATAAAATAAAAATAAATCATTTTGTAAAATTTAAAAAGCAAAGATAAGCCTTATATCAACACCTCAGAAAACACGTGAGAGGACTGTAGTTAGAGTTTTCCTGCCTGGCCCACAGTCAGGACAAATCTCTCTCACCCGCCAGTCCCACAGCTGCTCAGACGCGACCAAGTAAACACACAGAGACTTGTATTACTTATAAACTGTATGGCCGTGGCAAGCTTCTTGCTAACTGTTCTTATATCTTAAATGAACCTATTTCTATTAATCTATAAGTTGCCATGTGGCTCGTGACTTACTGGTATCTTAACATCTTCTCATGGCGGCAGCTGGCGGCATCTCTCCTGCCTCAGCCTTCTACTTCCCAGAATTTTCCTCTTTCCTTGTCCTGCCTACACTTCCTGCCTGGCTACTGGCCAATCAGCACTTTATTTATCAATCAATCATCCACAGCAGAATGGAATGAAGTGCTTAAGAAGCCAGCTAGCCTAGAAATCTACACCCTGTAAAATTCTTCTTCATAACTGGAAGCAAAATGTAGACTTTCTTAAAGAATTAATGCCAAAACCAAAACCAAACAAACAAAAAACCAACATCCCCCAGAGCCAGTGAGACGTCTCACTGAGTAAAGGTGCTGGCAATCTCACAAGCCTGGCAATCTGAGTTCAGTCCCCAGGACCCGCGTAGGGAAGGAGAGAACTGACTTCCAAAAGTTGTCTCTGCTATCCTCCTGTGCACCGTGGTGCACATTCTCCCATACATACTCTAATGAGTAAATAAATGAATAAATAAATGTCATGTTGATAATTTTGGGTTACAGCCCCCCAGGCTGCTTCATGCCCTTTCAGCGGAAACGAGATTTGCGCGTGTGGATGCCGCATCCCGTGAGGCCTCAGTGTTTAGCATGCTATGCCATCTAGGTTTGTGTAAGTACACTCTGATGGTCACACAACGAAATTGCCTAGCAACGCATTTCCCAGAATGTGTCCCCTGTGCTTAAGCAACATAGAGCAGTAATTATACACTGAAATAATGTTTTAGATATACTGGGTTAATAAAATACCTTGTTCATATTAATTTCACTGATTTTTTAAAACTTCCACATGACGTTATAATTTTTCAAATTACATGTGGTTTGTGTGCCTTGATTTGTATTGTAATGCATGGTTCTGATCTAGAAGCAGTCAATAATATTCGTTATTATAAAATAAACAGTCAATAAAAATTTGTTATATGAATTGTCCCAGCATTAGCTTTATAACTTAAAGCTGCCCTCTCTTCTAACATGATCCAAAAGAAAATTAAGAAACACGATTGCAAAACACTTAATTTTCAAACTATAAAGTCATTGTTAACCCAAATGTCTCCCTTAGAGGGGACTCAGTTTGATTCTTATGTTGTTAGCTTATATCCAGACCTTTTTCTACAAACATTTTGACAGCTACGCGGCAGGTTTGAAACCAGCCTGGGCTACACAGACTCTGTCCCACATAAACAACAACAACGAAATCATGCAAAAATCCCCCACGGCTTACCACCCAAGATGACAGCTTGTAACCTTCAGCTGCAAGACTTACTTCCGTTTCAAATGCTGATTCCCAGGCCTAGAATGGAGACAGGTGTCACTTGTTTTCAATTGTGGGAAAATATCCATAATATAAAACATAATATAAAAGGTTACATCTGGAGCTTTTATTGAGCACCTACTGTATGCCCCACAGTGTCCTGGGATATATGAGAGTACCCAAGACCAACACCACTGCCTTCTAATGAGGGTCATAAGTGAGCAGTGGTATAGCACAGGAGGGTCAGAACAAAGGCCATGGAAAAGCCCAAGTTTGATTCTTGGTTCACCTGTTCATATGTTTACCCAGCACACACCATGCCCCAGGCACTGGGCCAGACACCAGGAGTCCAGGTGCAAAAAAAAAGGGTTGTCCACAGACCTCAGGCACAGTGTTGGTAAAAATCTCACTTTCATTTCTTGCCTCCTGCAGGATATTATTTGTTTTGCAAAATATCAAGGCCACCTGTGTTAGCTCAATTTACATAATGCCTGCAGGAAACAGGCAGAAGGGAGGTTACCTGTCTCCTTTTATGAATTGGAGTCACCCTGGCAGTGCACAGTTAAAATGTTTCCCTAAAGTCACCGTGTCGGATGGCCCTGGGCTGCCCATCCCACCAGCAGCACTTCCAGAACCGCGCCCGTGGTCTCCCAGGGATTCGCCACTGCCGTGTTTGCTCTGGCACACAGGAGGGTCTCGGTGGCCTCTGGCAGGCATTTCTCTGTAGCTCAGGCATGACGTTGCTTCATCTCAGCCAAGGACAGATGTCCTTGGGCACATGCAAGCTCCTAATCACCTTAAGACCCAGGGGCTGCTTCTCTGGAGCACACTGAAGGGCTGCATGAAACACCAGGGGGGCACCAGCTTCTGCTGTGTGTTATCTAGATGCCGACACTTGGCATCAGAGCGAGTCTCTGGACCACAAGGACGGTTAAGCAAAGGAAGGGCAGGCTGGCTGGCCATCTAGTAAAGGTGCTTGTCTCTCAAGCTGAGCTACCTCAGGTCCACCTCTGGACTCACTCAAAGGTGCGAAGAGAGAACTGACTCCACAGAGCTTTTCTCTGAACTCCATATGTGTGCCATGACATACACACGCATGAACACACAGACGCATCATGTACACACGTGCATACACATGTGTACAATAATTAGTTCATTTTAAAGAACCCAAAAGATAGGAGCTGGGGAGGGAAGGGCAATGACCAGTAGGCAAAGAAGCTCTCAGAGCTCCTGTCCACAGTGTCCCATGTCCTCTCTTGCTAGTGCCCCCCCCCGCCACCCCCACCACCCCCACTCCCCTGCCACCCCCACCCCCACAGCCCCAGGCCTGTCAGGCCCGTAACAAAGGGAACTCCACATGGGAGTCGGAGTGAGATGTCATTGGGTCAAGAATGGCACCAGTAAATAACTCTTCAAAATGTAGTTCCCTGGAACCCTGTGAACAAAGCGTTGCAGTGGACCGAAGGGCAGGCTCCCCATCACCTGCCAACACGCCTCCCTGATTGGTCAGAGCGCCTGTGTCAGCAGCTCATTGTGCAAAGGCTGTTTATGTCTCGCATGGCAGGTTCCCTCCCACGGAACAGAGAAGAGGCATGATCTACTAGAAGTGACTTTTCAGATTATCTGCCGAACACATTAGTGGGTCTTTTCCCATCTGCATGCCTCCAGGCCTCATTGAGCCATAAAAAGTAGGTGATTTTTCTGAATGCTTTGACAAGCCCAGTCGCTCCCAGCCATTTTCTAGCTAGCGGGTTGCTTTGCCATTTCTTGCCAGAGAGTCTGCTCTGAAAGCCCCTCCACCCCTGGCAAAGAGAGAAAACCCTCTAGCAGAGAGAGGGGTACGGCGGTTTGGCTGGAGTGGAGGAACACACAGCGGGAAGGCTTCCTGGAGGAGGCAGCTCTGGAGATGGTACTGAAAGGAGGCAGTAGGCATCGACTTGTGAGGATTGTGGATAGGGGATGGAAGAAGATTATAAAACAGAAAATATGAGGGGGGAAAGATGCCTGTTTGGGGTTGAGGTCAGAAGAGTGTGCGGATGCCTGTTTTGGGTTGAGGTCAGAAGAGTGTGCGCGCGAGGGCACACACACATACACACACACACTCAAAGGCTAAAAATAGGAGTGTAAGTGCTTTGGAGAGTGAGTTTCAGTCTTGAAAGACAGGACAGTACAGAGGCCTTGCACAGTGACCTTGAGGTCACTTGTCTCACCAAGAACCGGAGATGGCCTAATAACAAGGAAGGGCATGGAGATCCCTGCTCAGCCTCTGAGCGGGCCTTTCCTGGAGGCCACCGGGTCCTTGGAGACTTGAGTTCTGTGCCAACTTCCTGAGCTGCCCTTGATCAGCCAGGAACAGGGGGATGGCCAGGGAGCGCATCTGCAGCTGCAGGAAGAAGATGAGCTGCCCCAGGTGGCCTCCCTGTCACGCTGATGCTTTGTTAACCTGGGCACTGTCAACAGTTCTGACCCTTTCCAAGGATGCTATAAAGGGTCCTGACCCCTGCGAGGATTTTAGTCCCCAGGGGCTGGGTGGCTCCCTGAGCACAGGCTGACCCATCTGGAACACCACCACCCATGGGATTTGGTGGGAGGACAGATGGGTGTCCCCCTCCTCCCCTTACTAGTGCTCCTGGAAGGGATGACTCAGGAAGGGCTGTGTAGCGCAATCAAGGAACTAAAGACTCGGTGAGCTATAAAAGATAAATAATAAATACGAAAAGGACATAAAGTTGAGAAAGGGGTTTGGAAGGAGGAGAGTCAGGGGTGGACACGAGCAAAATATATTGTATACATACATGTATGAAATACTCAAAGAATAAGCACATTTTTTAAAGAGGCAAAACAAACACTTGCCAACATACTCTAGCCAGGAGAGAATTTTACCCACTGCATGCCCTGCTCTCTCTCTCTCTCTCTCTCTCTCTCTCTCTCTCTCCTCTCTCTCTCACACACACACACACACACACACACACACACACACACACCCTGGAACATTCTGTCATTAACACCCTCCCACCACCTACCATCAAAATCATCTCTCTCCAGTGTCCACTCAGCCAGCCTCCTGCCCCCGGCAGACCTCCGCTGTAGGTGTCTGTGGCTCTCTCCCTGACATGGGGTGATCGGGTCCCTCCAGCAAGCTCTGAGGCATTCTGCCCTGTGCACCCCACAGCACTGGTTTCAGTGAATCCTCTCAAATGTCTGTGGGATGGGAGTTAGCCTGGACAATGGAACTTTCTCAGAGCCTCCTCCCCTCTGTAGCAGAGAACTGCAGGAAGGTGGCTGAGCTCCGTCGCCCCAGGCCGCCTCCTGCTCTGTCTCATGGTCCCCAGGCAGGCCTTTTTCTGGACGTGGGCTCTTTCCCCTTTCTCCCTGCCATGCTGTGGCTGAGCCTGTGAGTTTTTTGTGGATGAACTTCCGGGTTTTCTCTCCCGCATGCAGGTACAGAGTAGGCTGATGAACTCCGGCTTGTATCTGGTACTGCTACTTCACCTGTATGAGCAGAGGTTTGCAGAACTCATGACACTCAACTACAGGCGGGCTTCCAGAGAGAGGGTAAGTCCAGCTCCAGGAGGAGCCAGCGGCACAGCCCAGAACACCACGTGATGCTGTTTCTTAGACCTGCAGTCTCCTGAAGGCCTCCGTCACTTGACAAGGTCCAGGACTGTCACTGTTAGGTCCTAGATTTAGTAGCTGCTGAGTGTATGTGCAGTGACCTCTGGCTGAAGGCAGGTATAATCACATAATTGCTTACTGTCAGATTCAAATAGTAATTAAGTGGTCGTCAGTGGCCATGTAAGTGAAGGAGTCTCTAGGGAGACCTGCTCTGCAAAACAGAGGTGTGCAAGAATGCTCTTGTTAAGTGTATGCTCTGTGAGGGTGTGTGCTCTGCTCAAGCAAAGAGAATCTGTGCAAAAGCAGGCCATTCCACACCTGAGAGCTAGTGAGCGGCCATACTCCAAGATGTTAGCTCTGACAGCTGTGTTTTGGATCCCAGAGTACAATGTGTGTGTGTGTGTGTGTGTGTGTGTGTGTGTGTGTGTGTGTGTGTGTTTCTTGAAGGATGCCACAGGTACAGTATGCCTCTATGTATGTGTGTGTCCCTGAAGGCTGCCATAGGTACAGTAGGCCTCTGTGTGAGTGTGTGTGTGTGTGTGTGTGTGTGTGTGTGTGTGTGTGTGTGTGTCTCAGGCTGCCAGGAAGTAAAGGTGTTGATAGTGGCCCCGTTTGGCAAATGACCATGTATGTACCGGAATGGCTGTTCTTTAATAAGGAAGTGTGGCCAGCAAGAATAACACGGGATGAAGGGAGAAGCCTGGCCCTGCCACTTAGCAAAGTCAACAATGGGTGGACCTCTGACGTCTCAGCACCTTGAGCCCTCGGGAACTTCCACTTCATCAAATGGCTTCCTATGGCCACCTGAGACAAGAACTCTGGGAGGAAAGGGAAGGTGCCCAGTCGTGCCAGGGGCTGATTGCACTGTTGGGACTTCCAGGACACCCCTGGAGACCTTGCTCTTGACCTCTGCTCCTGTTGGGGCGTGACAGGAGAGTAAGTCAGTGTGGCAGTGGACAAGCCACTGGTGGTGCTAGAGGCAACTTCGGTGATCTGTCACCCGAGCTCTGAATCCCTCTTTCTCTTGGCTTCCTTCTTTCTCCTCTTCCTCTCTCTTCTCGGCTCTCCTCTCCCTCAGTGATGGCAGACTTCTTCCAGCACCATTGCTGCCTGGATGCTGGGGTGCAGTCCTCGCCGACACTCTCCACACCACCACTTCTATTAAAAGCACTGGATTCAGGGCCAGATGTGATGGTTCAAGCCCTTCGACCCCACACTCGGGAGGCAGAGGCAGGCGGATCTCTGAGTTTGAGGTCATCCTGGTCTATGTAGTAAAGCCCTATTTCAAAAACAAAACAGTGCTGGGCGGCGGTGACACATGCCTTTAATCCCAGCACTCGGGAGGCAGAGCCAGGAGGATCTCTGTGAGTTCGAGGCCAGCCTGGTCTATATCTCGAGATCCAGGACAGGCACCAAAACTACACAGAGAAACCCTGTCTCGAAAAACAAAAACAAAACAAAACAAAATAATCAAAAACAAAACAGCAAAAACTCACGCTGGATTTGGAGGCTGGGGATGCAGCTCAGCTGGCAGAGCGCTTGTCTACCGTGTATGAAGCAATGAGGTTGGTCCCCAACATCACACAAGCCAGGACTGATGACACCTGCCAGCATTTGGGAGACAGGCAGGAGGATCAGAAGTTCAAGGTCATCCCCAGCTACAAAGCAAATTCAAGGCTGGCCTAGGGTGTGAGGCCCTGTCTCAAAAAGAGAAAATGCTGAATTCAAACCACTGGTCACAGGAATTGTAGACCCATTTCTACTTTTTTTTCTGGTTAAATTATTCCCTCATATCCTGAGTGTTCAATGAAGACAACAGGCTGGGTTTCTGTCAATCTATCTCCTGAAGAATTTCACCCTCTCTGTGGCCCAGGCCTGCCCTTCCTTAACCTCCCCATGGTTTTAATGGTGACATAAATTCTTCATAGAAATACTTTACAAAAAAAAAAAAAAAAGGATAAGTACCGGAAGCAGAAAACGGTCCTTTGTTAATATTTCTGTAACTTCATTTTCATGATCCTGCATCTTTTAATGAACTTTTTATTACGCATTGAACTTCAAAGCATCGGGGTTGATGTGGGTTACAGATGGCCCTGGAGTCAGCCATCAGACATAGCATCAACCAGGGGGGCTACAAAGCAAGTATGAGAAGACAGTCCAGTCCCATGAACGAAAACCAAGGCCTACAGTCTTGCCTCTCAGGAGACTCCTGGCAAGTCTGTTCTGGAAAAGGAGTAGCAGAGCGGACGGGATAGAAAGGGACAAGCCTCCCGCTTCTCTCACCGTCAGCTCACGTGTAACTTGGGAAACCCCGACGCACACCTCACCCGCTCCAAGCACAAAGCTGTAACTGGTTATAAATGGCCAGTGAAGAGGCTTCCACATGGGCAGGAGAGATGACTCAGTGGTTAAGAGTTTATGCTGCTCTTGCTCCGTTCCCAACACCCACATCAGGGGGCTCACAACAGCCTGTAACGCCAGCATCTAGGAGACCCACGCCCCCTTCTGGCCTTCATAGGCACTGCACTCACATGCACATCCCCACACCCAGACATGCATATGTACATAATTCAGAAGTTTTTGGGTTTTTTTTTCTTCTAAATCTTTAAAAAAAGAAACATCTACACGAAAGCTGGAGGCCAGTGGAAAGCGTCAAATCCACCTCCTCCCGACTTTGTCTCAGGATTGCCAGAACCTGAGAGTAGCATTTGTCGAAAGAGATGCACTGACTTGGAAGAGAAACCTCTCTCCTTTGCTAGAAGCATGGGAGAAGCCCTTCACATCAGGCTTCTTGTTTGTGTCTCACGAAGAGACCTTGTGATAAATGCTCTCAGTGGTGGTGACGGTCATTTCCTCATTCCAATGTGCACCTGGAGCTGAGGTGGTTGGTGGGTTGCTTTCTTGTCATTGTGATAAAATATCTAAAAACAAACAAACAAACAAACAAACAAAAAACTGAAGAAGGACTTGCTTGGGCTCACAGTTTGAGGGGGACATACATCATTATAGCAAAGAAAGTGTGACAGTGAGACCAGCTTGTGTGTGTTGGCAGGATCATGAGGAAGCCCACTCATATCTCAGCAGACCAGAGAGCATGGGGATGAATACTGCCTTTCTCTTTCGACTTTTTTAAAAAATAGACCAGAACTTTCTATATATCCCCCAGCTGGCCTGGAACTCAACATGTAGACCACCCAGGCTGGCTTTTGACCTCACAGATCTGTCTGTCTCGCCCTCTCCAAGTTCTGGGAGTAAAGGTCTGTGTCACGGCACCTGGCTTCCCCTTTTCTTCTTCTTTATTTAGTCCTGGACAACAGCGCATGGGATGGCACCACCCATATTCCGGGTGGGTCTTCCTCCTTTACTTATCCTCTCTGGAAAGCCCTCACAGACACACCCACGGTGTGCACTTCTTAATGCAGTCAAGCTGACCTTGGAAGTTACCTTTCACAGATGGGACTCAATCAAAGAAAGTGACTGTATGACTTGATGTGATACCATGATGTCCCCTTTCTCTGAGGAACTTACAGTTAAGTTGAGAGACAGGATTCACATATTTATAAAACAAAAATAACAACAACAACAACAACAACAATAATAATATAACTGGAAAACAGCATTGGAGTAGGAGGAGAACCCACAGGTCCAGGGAGCACACAGAGGCTGTAAAATAAATACCACATCTTCCCTCGTTGGGACTTGCTGGGTTTCCAGTGGTCCCAGCAATGGACAGTCTCCTCATTGAGACTGTCCTGTGCTGTTTGAAGATAAAACAGGGCCTTCTGGACCTGCTCCCCTTAGACACAGGGTGAATCATGTTTGACCTTAGACCAAGCACTGGGCACTATGGACTCAGTGACACTGAGTGCCAAATAAAATGGTGGTATGCGTGTATGCGTGGGGGCAGGGGCGGGGTGGGGGGACGACTGTGGTTATACTTTATTAACTTGGGCATGGAACTGCAGTTCTCCAGTGCCTGGAAAATGTCTGGTACATAATCAATGCTCAGTCAGACTTCAATGTCCAAGGAATTCCTGAATCAGAATCTCTTTCTTTCGGGTAGCAAGTCTTGAGTGTCGTTTTAGAGAAAGGGACAGTACAAATTTGTAGAGAATTCAAGGTATACTCATTTATCCTGCACACCTACTATGTGCTGGGTTTTAAATCATATCCTGGGGATGCAGAGATGATGAAGACAAATGCTGCCCATATTTGGCTCAGCATCTACCGAGAGAACATGTAGGGCTGGAGCGATGGCTCAGCCATTAAGATGGAGGACCACTCTTGCAGAGGACTAAGTTTGGTTCCCAGCATCCACTTTGGGTGGCTCACGGTCACCTGTAACTTCAGCTCCAGAGAACCTGACACCCTCTTCTAGTTTCCAAGGGCACCTTCATTCATGTGCACATACACATGCACACACACAGTATTAAAAAGTAAAACAAGTCTTTAAATACATTAATTGAGGACACATGTGTGACCAAGGGGATCCCAAACCCGTTGGTGTGGTGATAGAAAACTGAGCTGGAGGAAGAGCAGAATGGAGGGATGAAATGAGGGGCTCTCATCTCCTCCTTCTACACACTTCTCCAGGGCAGAGCTCCAGCCAGGCTCTCCAGAGATGCTGTGAGGAGGCCTAGCCTTCGATCCAGCAGGGAGTTTGCCCTTTGCCCTCAGTCCTTGCTACCTTGACAATGTTGCTGTCGTTGTGGCTTTTGTCAGCTGATCAGCCAAGGAGACGATGCTTGGACTGAATCTTGAAGAGTGTGACAGATGGACTGGGGTAGGGTAGGTGGGGAAGTGTATTCCACACCGAAGAAGACATAGCGGCCTGGAGATGTGTAAAACTCCACATGCTCAGACTGTCAAGAAGGTTCCCGGCAGGGACTGGCAGGAAGTGAAGCTGAGGTGTAGTCAGGGCGCTGGGCTGGAAGGTTGGGGTGTGGCTCTGGAGGCTACCGGACGGTTTCCAGCCTGGATTGACAAACAAGAACATTCTGGTATTTGTGTGGGTAAGTGCAGTAGACTTACCTAGAGGGTAAGGAGGAAGAGACCAGCTGGATGGCTGTTACAGTGGCATAAAGAGATAAGGGCCCAGCATGGAGTATGGATGACAAATACCCCCCCCCCACTGCCGTGTGCGTGTGTGTGTGTGTGTGTGTGTGTGTGTGTGTGTGTGTGTGTGTCCCTGTGTGCACATGCGTGAGTGTATTCAGGACCAGTTGAAGGAAGCACTGATGTTATTCTATGAAGCTGCCCAGCAGCAAGCTGGCCCTTCCTTTCCTAGCATCAGGTGCTTATGATGGGAGCATCTCCAGGGACCACTGGCTGATGCTGCCTTGCTCACCCTCTAGTCTGATGGGGCAGTCTGGCCTAGATGGAGAAGTTAAATGGACTTTCCCTTTTCACATATTTCCCTTTTATACCCACGTGGGATGCTCCATCATCTGGGGTCAGCTCCCCCAGAACCCCCTTCATGACCTGCCTCCTGGTCTGACTCTTGTCTCTGATTATTGGTATCTTCAGGAGAGAATGCCCTTCTTCGTCCTCTGCCCCCGGTGTGTTGTTAATAGTCACAATGCCAGGCTAGTGGCAGAAGTCAGGGAGTACAGTGGCCGGCTTAGGAGGCAGGTAGGGTACCACATGTCCATCCCTTCCTCAGTGGACCATCCCCATTTACACTATTTCTACAAAACCAGAAGCTCTTGCCTCAAGGGGCCAAATCTACCCAAAACGTGGGAAGCCCAGGTTTGACCTTTTGACATCTGCTCAGCAGGACAGGATTCCTAGTGATGTGCAAGGGGTCATAGACATCAGGATCTGGCACAGAATGTCGAGGCAGCACCAGTGAGGTTGCCTCAGTGGCCCTCGCTGTGGTGTGTGGCAGCAGAGGTTAGCACAGTCCTGATGTATAATTCACAGGTAACCAGGACCTGCTACTCTAAACGAAATATCATCCCTCCTTTGACCCCCCCCCCCTTTGGCACAGAAAAGAGCCTGTAGACAAGTGCCGCCTCCACCCAGGCCAGGGGGTTGTCCTCTAACAGTGTCCAGCACCCCTTGTTCTGTTCCCAGCCTGATACAAAGTCCCTATTCTCCCCGGGGGAAATAGCACCAGACCCAATACAACAGGGCCCACATCCTTGCAGCTTGGCACAGTGGGCTCCCATGGAGTACACAGCGTTTCCTATTGTGGCATAAAATGCCATAAAATCAGAACAAAGAGAGCCCAGGGCCTGGATGGGTCGGCAGCTTCCTGCCAGGCAGAGAATACAAGCGATTGTTTAAAAGTCCGTGGTGAGGCAAGTGGCCAGTTAGTTAGCAGAGCCTTCCTCCCCACAGCCTGCAAATTGTGCCGGGACCATCAGAAAGGGATTCTGCTATTCAGATCAATTGCTAAAAGGAAGCAAGTCTGTTCACACTGCCGAATATAGAAGCCCAGAAACAGCAAGGTGACCCGGGTTATCACGGCGCTGTCCTTGGGACAAGCTGAGCTCCACCAGTGCAGAATACCAGCCCTGATCCTGAGCACCTTGGTGAGACACACGAGTTATACAGCTGTTCACAACTGCATTGTAAAAACAATTCATGTCTCGTTGTCTCCTCTCTCATAGTTGTCAAGAAATCACCCACAACCCAGACCGGAAGAAAATGAAAGTAGGTTTGGGGGTCCATCCTGTCTTGCCTTCTTTAAGGGTGTTTGCTAAGTCATTTCTGCTCCGGTGTTGAACCTAATACTGTGGAAGGAAGTCATGACCACCACCCAGAGGCAAAAATAACCCCACAAAGCTTGGGAAACTCTAGCCTTCACTAACAATCAATCAGGAAGGCTGGAGGTGGAGCAGATAAGAATTTTAATTCATCCTGAAACCAAGGAAAAGGGTCGGCTAGGAGGAAGAGAGTGTTTCCTCCCTAGCATCCTCTGGCATCCAGCACTTGATGAGGTCTTGTTGTTTTGTTTTGTTTTTGTTTTTGTTTCCTGCCAGGATCCTGTCTGGGATTTTCCTTCTCAGATCCTAGAAGCAGGCTGGTTAGCCATTACCAGAGAGAACGTTCCTTTGACAAGCAAGCATTCTGATTGTGTTTTGATGCCATTGAGTATCATCAAGTGGCCCGACTGGATTTAGAGGCTGAACAAAGCTAACAGGTCTCCAGCCTCCTTCAGACAGGTTCCTTATTGCACAGAAATTCTCCCTGGAGAAAATGAGCCTAATTAAAGCAGAGGGCTCAGAGGCCGGCCTTAAGACTCTATCCACAGAAAGAATAAGCGTCGCAGGGAAATAGAGGGATGTGACAAGTGGGTCTCTCTGGGTTCTTGGAGGAGAAATTTTACAGCAGCCTGCCTTGTCCTGAAAGCTTAGGAGAGTGATTCCCACGCTGGCATCACGGATCTCGAGAACTTACCCTAAACACAGATTCCTGGGCCCTCCCACAGTCTCCACTCCAGCGATGGGGTGGGGCTCTGGAATGTGTCTTTCACGCACAGCCCACAGACAGGATTGATGCAGCTCATTGCGGGGATGTTTTGTGGGCCCCTTCCCCGCCCTCCACAAATAAATACCTGACCAGAAGAGACATTGCACCAGTCCAGAGCTCCCCAGGGTGGGGCCCCGACTGCAACCCTAGAGAAGCAAGCTTTCTATTCAGGGCACGCAGTCCTAGGGAGCCAGGCTCACGGTGCTCAGAGATGGGAAAGGCCCTTTCTTCTCGATACAAAAGGAGCTTCTGGAGCCCCAATCCCCGCGCGATTGTGGGGTCCAAGCCAGCCTGCCCGACGGCCTGGCGCCCCCTGGAGCGAAGCCCCAGGACCGCTCGTGCAGTCGTCCCCAGACCCCGGCTTGCTGCCTGGGTGCAGCAGGGAAGGCGGCGGTGCGGTGTCTAAAAGACCTTTGTGTCTCCGCCCGCACGCACCGCCTCCCGGGGACCGCACCTCGGCCAGGCGTCCGCGCACGGGTTGTCAGCGAGGCCTCGGCGAGGGCCTCATGCTCTTACAGGGACGTGACAGGCGGCGGGCTTTGGTCCCCAGCTGGGAGACCTGCAGAGGGTCCTGTTGCCCGGGGCCCCGCCCCGCCTCGGAGGCGCCCGCAGCGTTACCCGGTTCGGAACCTGCGAGGCCGGGCGCGTCCGAGAGGGTTCGGCTGGGCAGGGGCGCCCCCTAGTGCCCCTTGTGACCGCTGTGTCCTGTAGGCGGAGAGGGCTCCCCCAGACCCAGAGTCGGTGCACTGCATCAGGACCCGAAGGGCTGCCTTGGTTTCTGAGCCTGCGTTACAGTTGGCTGCTCTCCCTAAGGAATGTTTAGAAAGGAATATCGACAGGCATGGTGGCCCATGCAGACTGCTGCAAGTTCCAGGCCAGCCTGCATTGTATAGTGAGGTCCAGGGCGTTTGTCCTAACCACCACCAACCAAAATAAGTCGCAACCGACTTATTTTGCTCCTCCCATGCAGATGGTCCCTCTGATTGTCTACCACTCATTTGCTATCTCAGTTGGGAGCTGGCCCATCTCCAGAATCGACCGTTCGCAGGCCATAGGGCAACCGGTTCTTTCCTGGAAATACAGACCAGGTTCCATCTACCTGCCCCTAGTCCTGTACACTCCCGAGCTACTAGTAGGGAAGGGAGAGTCAGTCCAGGCTGTGCAGAGCCCAGAACAAAGGGACCAACACACTGTCCTCAATGAATGAGCACTGGCAGCCCTTAGCCTGTCTCTGTGCCAAAGCCACTATCAAGACAAAAGTCAAGCATCAGAAGCAGAGCCGGAGGAGGCCAGGCCTCCCTCTTGGCCACACTTTTCTTCTTTGGCCCCCACAGCCTGGCATGACTCACCTGGTTGGCAGCATTTGGTTAATATGGCCTGCCAGCACTGAGTCACAGCTGTGACCTGCCACCCCAGTCCAGTCCAGGTAAACACAGCGAGCGGGAAAGGACAAAACATCAGGGTACAAAGGGTGCCACGAAAGGTGCCAGCTGCCTTGTGGCCCTGGGGTGCCCGCGCCAGCCTTCTTACTGGGTTCCTTTCCCTGAACCTAAGACCCCACCAGTAACACTGAGGTGAGGGCATCTCAGGCGGATCCTTTGATGTGTGAGCCAACCTGTTACAGGGCTCCTGACCCAGTGTCTCTGGCAGCTGCTTCCCAGCTGGCACAAATGGCCATGACCATAGCCAAGACGGAGGCCGGAACGAGAGCGCGTCACCTGCTGATATGCGTATAGGTGATGAGCCAACTCCCAGCGTGGGAGAGGGAGCTGGGACACCCACGGTAGCTGGGGCACCCACGGAGACTAGAAGCAGTGATAAGAGGGTTGGGGTATGAATGTCAAGGCGTCATTTGCTCCTGTTCCTTGACTTCTTCAACCGTGGTAGTGTTTCTGCGTAGTCTGGGAACGCTTTCTCGAACCAAGACAAAAGGAAGGACCCAGAAGAAGAGTTTCCCCAAGAATGAGGGAACCCCTCTCCTGTTCCATTTGCTGTACTTGGACCTTTCAGCCACCCCCCCCCAATGCCACCTGCCCTCGCCCCCTCCACACCCTCAATCACGTTAGGCAGTAGAGTTCACTTGGGAACCTCATCCTAAGAGAAGGCAAAGGTTCTACCAGCTATTCAGTCTACAAACTTTATCACCAGACTGGCGGGCAGAGACAGCTGAAATAGATTAATAGAGCAGCCCGCTGTCCAGCTGCCCCTGACCCCGCTGGAGCTCCAGTGCAGGCAGCCTGGAGATTCCTCAGCCCCAGATTAAAGTGTTCCCCCATCCTGCTCCATATTCCATTTCTGTGTGTGTGTGGGGGGGGGGGGGGGGCTGGCCACTGGGGCCAGGGTGGGAGAAAGAAGGGCAGTGGTACCCTGCCCCGTGTGGCAGATCCTGAAGCCCTGGAGCCTGAGAGATGGTCTTGCTTTCTAGGTTCCGAGTCGGGAGATGGTAATGAAAGCAGTGTTTACCCAGGCCGGGTCATCTAGCGAGGGAGCTGGTCGTGGAGTGCGGCAGAGACCTCTCCACCCAGAAGCCCTTTCTGCGCCCCCACCCCTGTGCCTCCCTTCTTCTCTCCTCTTTACTGAACCTGAAGCCAGTGTGTTCACAGTTACCTTTCTCACCTGGGCCACTCCGTTCAAGTGTCTCGCTTGATCATCCTCGGGCAGCCACAGGGACCAGCCTCGCTCGTCCCAGCCAACACAGGCCAAAGAGCTGAGTCCCGAGTGGGCTTCCCTGATGCTGCCCCTCAGCCCAGCAGCCCAAGTGGACCCAGCGACTCTGGCACCCCAGCAGCCTAGGCTCCCGCTGCTGAGGGCCCCTCTTCAGGCCTCAGCCCACCCTGAGTGGAGTGGATCCGTGCATTCAGTAAACTGACTCTATTCTCCCATTTATTTTGTATTTATTTCCCTCCCAGGCTGACAGTCTTGAGCTGCAACCCGCCTCCCATGTCGTTTCTGCTTGCTGCCCACCACCAGAGTCTTACACATCTCAGGCTCTAAGGCGCCCATGGGCTGGGGCGAGCTGGATCCCATTTAGGATCAGCTGCGGATGTGGATTCCGTGATTCTTCTCCTCATGACATCTAAGGAGTCAAAGACCGATGAGACTTAGGGGGATAAAAAAGAAATCAGATGGGTAGTGGGGAAACTGTATGTGGTTGTGGAGGGCATGAAGTATAAGAAGAGATCGCCAGCTAAGCCTGGTGGTACACACCTGCAGTCTCGGCACTGGGGCAGGAGGATTATAAATTGGAGGCCAGCTTGGGCTGTATAAGCAAGACCTAGTCTCAAAAATCTAGAGAGAAAAGAGACAAAAATAAGCTTTCAAAAAGTGGTGGAAAGGAGAGAGTACTGTTCAAAGATGTGAGCTAAGTGAAAGAAACCACATCCTAAAGACTTCATAGTCTATGATTCCACTTGTATGTAATTTCCAGAAAAGGCAAAACTCTAGAGGCAGAAAGCAGATCTGTGAACTCTGGGAGATGAAGAAGAAACAGGAACTGGAGGTGAGGAAGGTGTCACAGAGTGGTTACGTGATGACAGTCACAGAACTGGACAAATTTGCTCAAATTCATTGAACTGTGTGTTGGCGGTGTGGGAGTATGATAGCCTGATTATGATACTTGTGCATCCCGAAATGTCCTCAAAAATAGGAGACAGGACAGAAAAAGGAGGAGAGAAAAAAAGTTGAAGAGAGACACAGGAATTGGGGACACACCTCAGTTGATAGAGCACTTGCCTTGCGTGCGAAAACCACTAGGTTCATGGTCTGCACCACATAAACGGTGTTCTTGTCTGTGATCCTAGCATTCAGGAGGCAGAGGCAGGAGGCCAGAAGGTCAAAGTCATCCTTAGTTAATAGTTGAGGTCAGCCTGGGCTACATAAGACCCTGTCAAAAAAAAAAAAGATAAACAGGAGAGGACAGTCTGGAAATAAGAACAAAGTGTAAATACGTGTGTGTGTGTGTGTGTGTGTGTGTGTGTGTGTGTGTGCGCGCATATGTGTACGTGTGTGTGATAGCACCATAATGAACCCATCTTATTTATTAAGGTTTTTCAAGATAAGGTTTCTCTGTGTAGCTTTGGAGCCTGTCCTGGAACTCGCTCTGTAGACCTGGCTGGCCTTGAACTCAGAGATCCACCTGCCTTTGCCTCCTAAGTGCTGGGATTAAAGGCGGGCACCCCCACTGTGCAAACCATCATGTATTTTTAATTATTTAGATTTATTTAACTGTATGTGTAAGAGAGTTTTGTTTGCATGCATGTAATGTGCACCATGTGTATGCCTGGAGCCTGTTGAGGTCAGAACAAGGCATTCAGTCCCTTGAGACTGGAGTTATACACAGTTGCGAGCCTCCATGTAGGTGCTGAGAATCAAACCCTGGTCCTCTGCAAAAGCAACAAACACTCTTAACTGCTGACTCAACTCTCCAGCTCTAAGTAAATAATATTTAGAAAAAATATTTATTTGAATCATGGGTGTGGTGGTTTGAATAGGTATGGCCCCCATAGACTCCTGTGTTTGAATACTTGGTCCACAGGGAGTGGCACTATTAGGAGGTGTGACCTTCTTGGGGTGGGTGTGGCCTTGTTGGAGGAAGTGTGCCATTATGGGGGCGGGCTTCAAAGTCTCATATGCTCAAGCTATGCCCAGTCTCCTTTTGCTGCCTGTGGATCAAGAGGTAGACCTCTCAGCTACCTCTCCAGGACCACGTCTGCCTGCAGGCCACCATGTTCTACCATGATGACAATGGACTAAACTCCTGAACTGTAAATCAGTCCCAATTAAATATTTTCCTTTATAAGAGTTGTTGTAGTCCTAGTGTCTCTTCATAGCAATAAAACCCAAACTAAAACAATAGGTTCATTGTGTTATCGTATATAAACAAAATTTAGATCAAACAAATTTCTTCTTGCCTTCAAAACACATGTTCCCACAACAGTCCCTGGTTCCCAGCCTGGCTTTCTCCTGGGGGCTCAGGATAAGACACTGCAGCCTGGAGATGAGTAACGGGAGCAATAATAGGGAGACTAGTCTGGGCTACCTAAATCTTGACCCATTCCTCTGGCATGTTCCATTTAAACAAAGTGATACAACTCCTGGAGATAAATGCGTTCAGCCAAGTGGCCAAGACCCGAGATCGGAGATAAAGATGAACATCTTTGCCTGTTAGTAGATCCTTACCAAGCTACTGAAGTCGACAGTAGCTCCATGATCTAAATAAAGTTTAAAGCTCCAAGTGCTGATGTTCAAACATGGAGCTCCTGACTGCACAGGAAAATAGGCCTTTGTTTTTTAACTGAATTTTAAGGTTGAGTGAAGATTTGTTTCAGAACTGGTACTGAGAACCGTAGAGGAGGGGACAGGCATGCTTAAAAACAATTTATATAGGGGTTAGAGAGCTGGCTCAGTGGTGAAGAGTGCCAGCTGCTTGCCCAGAGGACCTGAATTCAGTTCCCAGCACCAACATGGCAGCTCACAACCATCTGTGACTCCAGTCCCAAGCTATCTGATGTTATCCTCAAGATTCTGCTGGCCTCTGTGGGAACCAGGCATGCACGCGGTACACAGACATATATACAGACGAACTACCCATCATAGTTAATTTATAAAACCAAGCTGTATAAGCTGGGTATGGAGACAACAGAGCCCAGGGGGTGGGGGTGGCAGGAGGAGGCATGGAGTCCAGACACACTGGGACAAAGGTTCACATACAGAAAAAGTCACCTCCACTTATGAAGCACTTCCTGTGAACTGACCTGGAGAAAAATAAGCCCTTGACACTTCTCTGTAATCCTCAATCAGCCTGTATTATTAACCCTATGTTGCCTGAGAGGAAACTTACCCCTCAGGAGCTCAAGTAGTGCTCTGAAGTTCACAACGTCTGAGTCTGTTGAACAAAGCTGTGCACCTGACCCCTGTGCTCTGCTGCAAGGAAAAAAGGCAGCATCCCTAAGCAGCTCCAGTCAGGGAATGCAGAGTTCCCAGCGCCAAAGGGTACAGTGAAAAGCCCTTGGAGGAGCCTGGAGAGAGGGCTCAGCAGTGACGAGCACTGGCTGCTCTTCCAGTGGACGGGGGTTCAATTCCCAGCACCTACATGGTGGCTCACAGCCATCTGTAACTCCAGTTCTAGGGGATCCAGTGTTCTCTTCTGGCCTCCATGGGCACCAAGCGTGCATGTGGTACACAAATGTGCAGGCAAAACACCCATATACGTTTAAAAAAAAAAAAGGGTCCTGGAAGAAGAGGTAACAGAAAGAAATTTGGTGGCTTATGGAGTCCAAAAGAGGAGAACCAAGATGGAGGAAAAGGCTGTTGAGCAGGGAGAGCACATGTGCTAGCAATTATTTAATGCATACGAGGGAATGGAGACTATGGCACACTATATGGAATACTAGTTATAGAAGATATCTTATACCGGGACTCGGACATCTTATACCGGGACTCGGACATCCTTGGATGTATGTAGACAGCAGCAGCAGGGTCTGGAATAGCAAGGGAAGGTTGTGCTTAATGTTCTGTTATCCTTACCGTGGAGGACACCATGCACATTCCCCAGATTCCAGGGAGGAAAGGACAGTGTAAATGTGAAGAAGCAAACAGGAAAGCACAGTATCGGGGGCCAGGTGTCCCCCACACTGCACAGCTAGATACCCCACAGTATCAGAAGGCCAGGTGTCCCCCCACACTGCACAGCTAGACACCCCACAGTAACAGAAGGCCAGGTGTCCCCCACACTACACAGCTAGATACCCCACAGTAACAGAAGGCCAGGTGTCCCCCCACACTGCACAGCTAGATACCCCACAGTAACAGAAGGCCAGGTGTCCCCCCACACTGCACAGCTAGACACCCCATAGACCTCAGAGGTGTCTGGAAGTGAGAAGACAGCATGGATGGGAGTAGAAAAGTATCCCTTCTGGATCCCCAGAAAAGGCTAAATCTGAAGTCTTCCACCAACTGATAAAGAAACCAGTATTTGGCTACTCTGAATACATGGCCTTGAACCCTGGTTCCACCTCGAACATAAACAGCCTGTCTGTCACTCACTCCTCTTTCTAGTGTTGATAACTGCTCGCTTTCCATACAAGGAAGGCTAAGATCTGCCTCCCTCCCCCTCGATGGAACTGATTCTGATGGGAGAGAGCAAAAGACTGAAATTGGCCTTTTCCTGGGGCCTCTTGGCAGCACCCTCCCGAGGAAACCCAGGCCTGCAGGAACGTCTGGGCACTTTCGTCTCATGCCGGACCCCTCACAGCCCCTCTTCAATTCCTTGGTCCCTTTCCTTCCTTCCCTGAATGTCTTCCTTGCTGGTCTCCCCCACAATGCTGATCCTTTACCTTGTGTCTGCCAGAGACTCCAGCCCCAATGCTTCAGGCAGCTTGGCCAGGTTTGGGCAGTTCTGTTCCAGGATAGCCATGTGGTGAGGCTGGCTGGCTCCTCACCCCTGCGGCCTCAGAGAGCTGCCCACTGGGCCAGTCCAGCTCTGCCAGGGTACCTGGGAGGAGGCCATCTCTGATGTGATAGGAGATTGGGGGAATGCTGTTCTCTGGAGAGCCGCCCCATCTTCCCATTCATTCATGGATTCATTGAGCTGTCA